GTAGGCCTTGGAAATAAGTGAAAAGTGGAAGAAAGAAGATGAAGTGATTTGTGATCCAAGGACTGGAAGGACAGCAATATGGAAGCCCCTGCACCATTCCACAAAGGGATTGGACTCCTATGTGACCTTTCCTAATGCCCATCATGTCTGAGAAGCAGCTTCTATAAGCCCATTGCACTCTCTAAACTAGACCCTGCAGAAAACATTAAGCACCCCTGGCAGAACCTGCTAACGGCCATGGATCTGAAGCATGAATGATAGCGATAGCAAATACCTCGGAAAGGGACCTCCTTCTCCATCAGGATTAAGACTCTCTCTACCCCCAAAGAGAGACAGAAGTAGGAGCCTGCACTAGCTAAACAGATCTCAGCAAGTAGCCCAGCCATGCTTTGACCTGGCCAGGGACTCCTATCTCTTTCCAGGGACTCCTCATCCCCAGTAATTCTAAGAGTCCGTTCCCTGATCAGAGTACACAAGGGTGGGGAGGTTGAATTGGTAGAGGGACTTGGCCAGCCATGGCTTGGCTCAGGATGCTCTTTGTGAGAAGACAGAGAATGCTGCCACTTCAAGTGCTAAGCAGGGAAGTCAAGGGGGCTATACTCCTTTTACTCAACTATAGACATAGGACCAGAGGATCCCAACTAAGGTAGATAGCATGATATGGAAAATCTCTTTGCCACGCAGATCTGACTTCTCTCTACTTTCCTGAGTCACTGGGGCAGATGGAAACCACTCTTAAGAAATTATGACAAAATTATTTGACTGTGAAGATGTTCCTGCCTTATGACCACCAGGGACTCAGCCTGCAAATTTTGTTATCTGCTGAGACAGCAACAGGGTCCAGTTGAAGGGTTAATTGTGCCAGATATGAGGAGTATATCAGAGTAATACCATAAAGGATCTAAAAATTAACCAGTCATTTGAACCACAGCCAATGAAAGCAGGCCTGGACTTTCTTGCTAACCCTAAACAGAATGAATGCCTGGTGAAGCAAAACAGGCTTAAAGAGGATCCAGAGTCTCCGCACATAATAGACAAGATGTCCAGGACACAACTGAAAATTACACTTCAGACCAAGAGCAAAGAATTAATAACATTGCAATTGAGACAGTCCTCTGATGAATCAGCTGTTGGAAGTGTCTGACAAGGATTTTAAAGCAGCATTCATTAGAATGCTTCAACAATCTATTACAAATTCTATTGAAAATAAAAACAATCAGCAATGACATAAAAGCCATTACAAAGCAGAGAGGAAATGATAAAAATTAAAAATAAACTAGAAATAAAAACTCACACGATGGACTTAATTGAGGATAGAATCAGAACTTTAGAACACAACATTATTATCTACCAATATGAACAAAAGCTAGACAATCATATGAACAGCTTCAGGGACTGGTGGGAAAATAACAAAATATATAACATTTTTATCATCAGAGCCTCAAAAGGAGAGGAGAAAGAGTGTGGGATTAAAAGAATACTGGATGAAACAATGGTTTAAAACTTCCCAAATTTTGTAAAATAATTAACCTCTTTAGAGCTTTTTTTGGTAGAACTCTTTAGGACAAAATGATACCCTGAGGTTTACTCTGTAGCAGTACCCACTGAGGAAACAGTCACATGGCTTACTTCCTGTCCTAGTTTCAGAACCTGAGAAGGTGAACCTACTGGGGTTGGCTGGGGGAGGAGAGGAGAATTTGTTCCAGAAAAAAAATAAATAAATAAGACGAAACGAAATTATAATGTTAAGAGTAGAAATCAATATAATTGGGAAAATAATAGAAATAATTAATGACTCAAAAGGCTAACTCGAAAAAATCAAGAAAATTGAACAGCCTCTGGCAAGAATGAAAATAAGATAAAAGCATCCATTATCAGCAAATAAATAGCAAATATTATTGCGGTTTCTATGCCGTTACAATGAATGGTAATGAGAATATCATGAGGAAGTTTATACTACTAATTTGACTATGTAAAAGAAATAGAGTAAGTCCTCAGAAACACCAATCTCTGAAACCATCCGTGTTGGAGTACATATTAAGTCCAATGACCATTAACTAAATTGGTTTTATCACTTAAAAGCTTATGGAGAAATCCAAGTCCAGAAGTGTGTCCTGAAGAATTCTATCAAACTTTAAAGGAGAATGATGATCAGTTTTACACCATCTCGTCCAGAAATAGTACAGGAGGCACATTCACAACTCATTCCATCGAGAAACCAATGACAGTTCAGAAAACAGAAAACCACAGATCGATATCTCTTAGGGATTTAGGTGCATAAATTCTCAAGAAGAAAAACCAGTATATTAAATGCAACGTTATGCAAAAAAGAATTATATGGTTAAAAAAAAGAATTATATGGTGAGATTTATGTGTGATCAGCTATGCATGACAAATTTAACATCCAAAAGTCAGCTAATGTAATCTACCACAGAAACCCCAAAGAAGGAGAATCATATGATCTTACCAATTGACAGAAAAAACGGCAAATGTCTAATATCCTTTATAATAGGCAATCTCAGCAAGTGTCACCTGGTCTACAGTTGACAAAGATGGGCAACGAGAAAGCAATGCCGTGGCCTATTTTGGTTCTAGCGTGATTTGGGGAGGATAGGGAGATATTTAAATGCAATCCATTTGATCAAAATAATGTTCTGTGTCAAGTAACAATTAGGATAATGTGGAACATGTCAATGAGAAGAAATCCAGAAGAAGTAACGGTCAGAATTTTTTTATTTTGAGGAAAAATATTGGGAATTGCCAACAACAGATCTGGGAAATGGGTCACCTGGTATTGAAACCTCAAATACAACAAACGCTTGGAAGACCTCCAGTGGTTCTCAACCTTCCTCATGTCGCAACCCTTTCATACAGTTCCTTGTGTGGTGGTGACCCCCTAACCATAACATTATTGTCGTTGCTACTTCATCACTGTCATTTTGCTACTGTTATGAATTGGGTGACCCCTGTGAAAGGGTCATTCGACACCCGAAGGGGTCGTGACCCACAGGTTGAGAACCGATGCCTTAAACCAATAGAAGGAAAACAGTCAGATTGTTCACACAGAGATCATTCTCTGACCACTACTACTATGAGTTGACGTTGGCTGTGGCAACCCCAGGAAGACGTGTTGACTTTCCAACATTATGCATTACTGAGTACAGATTTGGAAGCAGAGTTCACTAACATCAAGAGCATTCTTTGAACTATTTCTTCAAGCAACTGGGAAGAAGCAACTAATATAAACATTAGACACTTGACTGGGTTTTATGCAGTAGAAACCAGAGCACAAGATTTGCAAACAATCCAAGTTCAATCATTGTTTTTTCTCGATTAACTTGGGTAGTCAGTAAAATCTCTGACCCGAAATTTCTACATCTGTAAAATTAGCATGGTAGGAATATTATTATGCTTAAATGTCCTACATGTTTTCCATAATTCCTGTTCTTCCATACTCTTCCTAATAAATTCTGTATCATGCAACTAGATGATGGTAAAATATTGAAAAGAAATGACAGCCGAAGTTAAAGTGGAATTCTCAGGATAGTTTTTTAACTTCCAAATTAAGTATATCCCCAGGAGTTTTAGATATTAATTCCTTCCTACTTTTAGGAAACATAAAATCTTTCCAGAAAAAGAGAGTACATGTATGTTTATTTTCTAACTTAACTCATAGATCAAAGTATAATTAGTGAGTTGGATCTGAAAGAGTTTTCCTTTTATTTTGGTATTTCTCAATTATATTTTAAGACAAATCTGTGTTTTTTAAATTGTGAATTAGGTAGGGGTTTATATTTCAGATCACCAGTTTTGTAGTTAGCTATTTGAGTTATTTATTACCCTCCTCCACTCCTTTGCTTTCTCTTTCCCCTCTTGTGGATTTTGCCCTTCACCCTGTCAACCTTCTAGCCAATTATTTCATCTTCCTGCCCTTGAGCTTCCCCCAATTTCCACCACACCCCCAGAAACCTCCAAAGTCTGTTTTCTTTTATGTGAAAATTGTTGCCTTGCTTCTTTTTGCTTGTTTGTTTTCTTTAAAACAGTGGTCTCATGCAGTATGAATTCTTTTGTGATTGTGATAGGTTTTATGCGAACTTGAGGGCCAGGATTCTTACATGATATGATCTAGCATCGTGTGCTCAACTGCATGATGGTACTGAAGCAGCCAGGCAGTTGTCTGGAGAATAGACCTCATGAAGCTGATCTCAGCCTTCGTACAATTGAGAGAGGTTTCACTGAGGGTAGGGCCTACTCTTAGTAGAAATTGACAGGGTGTGGAAGGTAGCTCATTCCTACCTACTGCTGGATATGGATTGTGCATGTGGTTCATCGACTGACTGCCTGCTTTATCACCTGCAAATTCCAGGAGCCATCAGTGGGCTGCCAAACTTGGATTCATTTGGCTATCTCAGATTCGTTCAGCTTGGCATCCACCAGATGGGAATCTTTCTGCTTCATCTTGCTGCTTCCTATGCATCAGTCCCAGTAGTCACAGGATTCAGGTAAAAGCTTCAGCTTATATCTAATCCATGAACTTGAAATGGATTGGATTTACCAACTTCTATGACACTGTGAGCCATTTCTTGATATAAATTTCTTACTGTATACATACAAGTGTCACTGATATTACTTCTCTAGCAAACTCAGCCTAACATAGGATTGTCTGATTTCACTTGGCATAATATTCTCCAGATCGATCCATGTTATATTATTCCATTTTATGTATGTACCAAATTTTCTTTATTTGTTCTTCTACTGATGCACATTTAGGTTGTTTCCATCTTCTTGCGAATGTGACCAGCGCTGCAATGAACATGAGTTCATCTATATCAGTTGGTGCTATGACTCTTACTTTCTAGAGTATATACCCAGTGGAGGGATTGCTGGATCATATAATATATCTATTCTCGGCTTCTGAAGGTAGTGCCACAATTCTTTCCAAAGTGGTTTAACTTTTACAGTCCCATCAGCAGTGGGACTGCACTCTCTCAAGCATCGAGACATATCTATCGTGAAAGAATGGTGAAAAGATACAAACCTGATATAAATCTTTGCTGATTTCAAACCAGGCAACATTCCATTGTTCTGCTCAAATGACTGCCTTTTGATTCATATACAGGTTCCAGATGATCACAATGAAGTATTCTGGAATTTCCATTCTTCTTTGTATAATTCTTAGTTGGTTATTATTCACACAGTTGAATGACTTTGCAGAAGCAATAAAATACAAGTAAACATTTTTGTGGTATTCCTTGCTTTCAGCCAAGAGTTAGCTGAACATTAGCAATGATACACCTTATTCCATATCCTTTTCTGAAATCAGTCTTGAATTTCTAGGAGCTCCCTGCCAATGAACTACAGAAACTGTTATTGAATAATCTTCAGCAAAAATTTACTTGTATGTGATACTAGTGATATGGTTTGATCATTTCCACATTCTGTGAGGGCCCTTTTCTTAGGAATGAGTGCAAATATTAATCTCTTTTCATAGGTTCATCAAGAAGCTGTCTTCCAAATTACTTGGTGTAGAGAGTAAGTGTTTCCTGTGCATCTTCAGCTTGTTGAAACATTTCAATTGGCATTCTATTAATTCCTGGGTCCTGATTTTTCTCTAATGCCTTCAATGCGCTCTAGGCTTCCTTTTTATGGTATGATTGGTTCTCAATCTATGCTATCATTTGAAATGGTTGAATTTTGACCAGTTCTTTTTGATATAGTGACTCCATGTATTCCTTCCACCTTTCATTAATGCTTCCTGCATTTTAAAACATTTTTCACATAGAATATTGTAATATCTCAACTCTAGTCTTGAATTTTTTCTTCAAGGTCATATTTTGGCTCTCCTGCACTTGTTTTCATTTTCTTCACCTTCAACTTGAACTTACATATGAGCAACTAAATCTGTTCTGCTGTCAGCCATAGCCTAATTTTTTGCTGATGATATTGAGCTCCTCCACCATCTCTTCCCATAAATTTAGTCCATTTTATTTCTGTGTATTCTATCTGGGGAAGTTCATTGTTTAAAGATATCTGTAACGAAGTTCTTTGTCTTGCCAACTGTTATCATGTGATCTCCAGTTTTATTTCTATCATCAAGGCCATAATTTCCAAGAACTGTTCCTACCTCTTTGCTTTTTACTTTTGCATTCAAGTTGTCAATGTTTGTCAGTGCATCTTGATTGCACATTTGATCGATTGCAGATCGAAGATATTGGCAGAATTCTTTAAACTCTTCATCATTAGCAATGTTCTAATCTCCCTGCACCCTCTTCAGCACTTGTTGTTTCTCTTTTAGGACCTGGGCTATGGTGTGGGTGTTTTCATTTGTATCTCCTGAATGCTTAATGATGCTGAGCTTCTTTTCATGTGTCTGTTATCTGAATGTCATTTAAAAAATAGTTTTACTGGCATATAGTTCACATGTCATACAGTGTAATAGTTCTATCATATTAATATTTGTACAATCATCACAAATAATTTCATAACATTTTCTTCTAGTACTCATTGCTTTTTAACTCCTAATCTCCCCACAAGCCCTCTGCCATGCACGTAGGTAATTACTAATCTACTTACTATCTCTATAAATTTACCTACTCTGAATTTTATACTTAAAAATCATACAAAACACACACAAATAACTAGAGAAAACATAGGAAAACCTCAATTGATAAGAAAGCAGAAAATATTATAAACTGGATCACTTTTAAAATTAGTGTAACGATATCTAA